GAGCGTGTTTGGTGTGACGGGGATTCGAACCCGCGACCCGCAGATTGCAAGTCGAGCGCCCTAACCACCTGGCAATGCCGGGCCATGTGGTAAAGAGAGAGAGTTGCCCTAGATGTAATTCAATTTAATAATCGTTATGGTTTTATTGGGTGTGATAAAAAGAGAGTCACACTAGATAAGAACTCAACTTGATATTCGTTACAGCTTTACAGTGTCTGATAACGACAGAGTTACACTATGTAAGAACTCATTCCGATACCCGTTACAGTTCTATAGAGTCTCATAAACAAAGAGTTACACGAGGTAAGAATGTAGTTTGATATTCGTCACGGTTTTAGAATGTCTGATCAAGTAAGTGACAATAGACAAGAACTTAGTTTGTTATTCTTTTTCATCAATACTGTTTTTCCACACTTCATTCTCCTGTGTCAATCTATCTGCTTTCACTCGGAATACGTGTATTTACCGGTGTGTCCAAAATTTTCAATACAGCGTATGGAAAACAAATCTTAAAAGAAAGTATTTGCTCCCACAAAAACATTCATTACTCTACTACAATATATGAAACATGATACTCAATCTTACGTCATTTTTCAAGATATTGTAACCCATTACTTTCTGTTGAAACCAATGCAAACTATTGTATATCACATTTTTTTTTATTTGGAGCTAGGCTTACCTTTTACCATGCTTCTTACATATTAATTGAATCATGCTTAGCTTGAAAGCTAAACGTCCTTACTTAGTGCATTTTATTTAAATATAACCTAAACTTTTCACATGTAAAACAATATAAAAAAGATACTGATGTAAAACCATGAAAATGAAAAATAATCTTGATAATATATAGTACTTACTTATGCATTCCTAAGTTCCTAGCTCACTAATAACGCCCTCTTAGTATATTTCAAATGCCTGTGTTTTATTAGACTGTTTTCAAACTAACTTTAATTCCAACAGTTTTCTTTCTTACTCGTTAAATCTCAAACATAAGAAATAAAATATAAATTACATTTACCTAGAATTAGTTTCTACGGTGTCAGCTACAAGTGAAATATCAAAAGTAAATAAATAAGCCAACCAACTCGTTTATTCCATATCTATCTATATAGACCCTTGTAGTTGTATTTCTTTGATAATCAGAAAATCTGAAAAAATAAACAACACAACAACCAATACGTTTTGAAAAATGTGGTCTTCCCCTCACTTTCCATCCTCAAAATAAATATTACACAAGACTTACACATTTCACAAAAATTATTGTCATTCAGGCTACATCCAGGTCAGAAGTGCAATGTCATAAATAATTTCTTCCATCTGCATGCTGCTCAAACCAATGTCATAAATCACCTCTTCCATTTGTATGCTGCTCAAACCAATGTCATAAATCATCCCTTTCCATCTGCATGCTGCTCAAACCAATGATCTATTACGTGGCTATTAAGTTTCTAACAATTAACACTTGTCTCCAAACACGCTCAATGTTGTTCTTTTAAATTTTCCTGATTACAATATATTTTCATCGCTCAAATTCACGTTTTAGTGAAGAAAGAAAATTTAAAATCAAATAAGCTGTACGCTTATGTTGTTCATTAATCCAAATGACTGCTTCTAGAGGGAGTTGAAGACTAGCTATAATACAAGAATTTGGATTGCATTTATGAATGTGGTGAAAATCAGTTTTTCTCTATATTACTCACTTTCATTTTCTTCAAGGAAAATTATCAGAAATTTAATACAAAGCTGAAATATAGATGTTAAGTATTTAGTGAATCTGTTGTAAATATGGCGATGTAAATGAATCTCTGGTTTAATTTTATTTACATTTGATTTATTTTGATACTCACTTGTCATCAATTAGAAACAGGTCTCCCTCAGAATCAATACACTTGCCCCTCCAAGAGAAAGTGTCACCCTCTATCCTAATTGGTGGTTCAAGGCCTTTTTGAAACCACAGGCCCGTCCATTTGGCGGGAAACTGACAACCATAACATGCTGTAATCGGAAAAAAAGAAAGTCATATTACTTGCTTATCTATGACAATGTAAAATAATAAATTCTGAGAATAATAAAAAAAAACAAGGACCCAGTATTTTATTTTATTCTTTATTTTTTGTACAGAAAAAACGTTTAGCTGTAACAAAAGCCATTCTTTTTTGTTGGTGGTGTTGTTTGTTTGAGCAGCATACAGATGGAAGAGGTGATATGTGGTATGCATTGAGAGGGATCGGAGAAAATAATAAATTGAAAAATATAATGGATACACTGTTTCAATACCAATTAGCTATAGCAAGAATAATAACGTTCATTCTAATTTAATAGTACCCGCGTCACAAGAGAATGACTCTTCAAGAGGCCATTAACAGAATGACTTTGGTGGTGGTTTAAACTCGTAATAGACTATATATGGCTATAAGGAAACTAGTACTGCTGTCTTGTTGTCTTCTTTCTTGTAAATAGTTCTGAAGTAGGGATGGCTATGAGGAAATTAGTGCTGCCACCTGGTTGTCTTCTTTCTGGTAAATAGTTCTGAAGTGGGGATGGCTATAAGGAAATTAGTGCTGCCACCTCGTTGTCTTCTTTCTGGTAAATAGTTCTGAAGTGGGGATGGCTATAAGGAAATTAGTGCTGCCACCTGGTTGTCTTCTTTCTGGTAAATAGTTCTGAAGTAGGGATGGCTATAAGGAAATTAGTGCTGCCACCTGGTTGTCTTCTTTCTGGTAAATAGTTCTGAGCCAGGGATGGCTATACCTAATCCATAGATTTATCTGACCTATACGTTTTGTTCCTGTGTCACATAAGGTGCCGTTCGGGATTAAAATATCAAATCGTTACCTGTCTATCTACAGGCGTACATCATACATACAGTTATAATCCCATCCGTGCTAATGAATTAGCATGTCATTAAATATGTAGAAATTAACGTGATAGTTTTTAGAATGATTTAATTATTTTCTTTAGGATCAAATTGCGATATAATATTGCCTCCTGTCGATGGTTTATTATTGTCAATTTATCAGGTTAATAATATGCACAACATAACACCATAAAAATCGCTATTAGTTTTCCTCATGTCCATGGTTTTATTTACAACCACTGTCGTATTCCATGAAAGTATAATAGAATCATTAATAAACCGAACAGACAAGATATGTAATAGACAGATATTATATAGCCCCTAGTGGCACAGCGGCGCTAGAATCCGGATTTCGATACCTGTGATGGGCAGAGCACAGATAGCCCATTGTGTAGCTTTGTGCTTACCTTCAAATAAACAATCTAAGGACGCCTAACAACTTTTAAACGCTCCCCAGTGGCGGCACAGTCTGCGACTTACAACGCTAGAAACCAGGTTTCGATACCCGTGGTGGGCAGAGCACAGATAGCCCATTATGTAGCTTTATGTTATATTATAAACAAACAAGCAACTTTTAAAATAACATCACATTCTACAAACTAATCAACCTAATAAATTGCACGAGAGTCGTATTTTTGTCGAAAGAAAACATGCGCGTTGAGTGCAGGGTTTTGCTGCCACTCAAAATAAAGGATAAAGGATAGTCAATATTGTTTTTCCCTTCAGGCGTGTTTAATTCAAGTTTAGTTAAAAGCGTCAGATGTTAGGTTTAACGCAACCTCCGAGTATAATTAAATGTCATATCAAATATTATACGAATACAAAACAAAAATGACAGCTATATGTTCTTCTCTACCAGTGAGTTTTAGTAAAGGACAAAATATAATGCCAGTTTTAGAACCTTGTTTGTTTGTTTTCGAGTTTATATAACAAATTTATACAATTGGGAACTCATTCCTGCTATCACTAGTCAGAAATCTCGCTGGTACAAAGAGGAGAATATCTTGTGATGAGTTCTTTACTAAAACCTTTAAATAAATGTAACATGTATAGATCAAGTACCTGTATACTTTTTACTACACTAAAATATTGTGTATTATGTATTATCTTTGAATACCGTAAAGTTTTGTGATAAACTCTCGAAAGGTTTTGCTTTATAACGCACAGCCATGATGTAAAAAGTCAGCGATAAGCATTTTTGCAAATAAAATGTAACCAGATATAATAAAAAAGTGATGTTTTGAACAGTACATGTTTTACTTAGATTGTGTTTAATTGACGGACATAACACTGTTTATCAGTTGTTTTGGTCCTTAAAATTAAGAAATAATTGTTCGAATTTCGTAGTTTATTGAAATGGCGCGAAATGTTACAGTAAGATCATAATTAATTAAAATATCCTCTTGAAGAGTCATTCTGTTAATTGCCTCTTGAAGAGTCATTCTGCTAATGGCCTCTTGAAGAGTCATTCTGTTAATGGCCTCTTGAATAGAAACATGACAGCAACAGTCCATTACAAGTTTAAACCACCACCATAGATACATGGCAACAACAGTCCATTACAAGTTTAAACCAACACCCTAGAAACATGACAGCAACAGTCCATTACAAGTTTAAACCAACACTAGAAACATGGCAGGAACAGTCTATTACGAGTTTAAACCAACACTCTAGAAACATGACAGCAACAGTCCATTACAAGTTTAAACCACCACCATAGAAACATGGCAGCAACAGTCCATTGCAACTTTAAACCAATACTCTAGAAACATGACAGCAACAGTCCATTACAAGTTTAAACCACC